CTCTCTCTCTCTCTCTCTCTCTCTCTCTCTCTCTCTCTCTCTCTCTTTTTCTCATCCCCTACTTCTCTCGTCATCGTGTTTAATTACATGTGCTTTTGGTGCACGATAACGTCTGTTGGTCGTGTCGGTGCGCGAGCATGGCAAGAAGTAAGTCAAGGATCAATCCGTGCGCCGGCCGGACGAATTTCGGTAGTCCTCGAATTATCGTGGGCGCGTCCGACCTTAACACTGATTGGTCGATACCCCGAAATAGCCACTGAGAAAATCTGATAACGCGGTTCGGCGTACAGGGTGTCTCGGGATTCTCTAATCAATCCGGAAATTAATTTTCGATAGAAACGTTAAGACATCGGCAACATGAAATTTCAAGCGATCGAAAAACGAAAAAGAGTAAACTTTATACTCCTTAAGTGTAATTAAACAACAAAACTTTGTACTCCCAACTTAAATGTAATTATACTGTTACTTTGCCTTGTCAGAATCTCAATCTGGGATTAATTAGCTGTGTATCCACAGGCAATATTGAAAAGTTGTAATATTGTGAATAATGCTCGAAAAGAAGCATGTTTAATTTAGATTGTTTTAATATGAAAAAGTTCCGAGATGTACAAATTGTATGTGACATTGAAGAATTACTTAAATGGAATCGAATGAAATCATTTTGAAGAAACATCAAAAACGTGAAAGAAATCACATACACAGAAAATAAATCTTAAAAAAATGTTATCAAGTAAAATATCAAGATATTAAGCAACAAAAATTGTATCATCAGTATTAAAACACGTATAACTTGATATAAGCATGTTCATTAATTCATTATTCACAGTTAAAATTTTAAAACAAATAGTTATTTTGTATCAGACTCTTCATTACTCGTCAACTACTCGATAGAATCTCTTCCAAGTTATATGTGTTTTAATCCAGCTGTTTATTTGACCCACAGAATGTAATTTATTTTTTGTACTAACATTTTATTTAAAATTTATTTTTTCTGACATTTTATTTGATTTCGTGAATCTTTTTTTCTGTGTAATTTTTTTACTTTTCAGAACTTTTTAACTTTCAAACTGCTGCATCTCCGCATCGTTTTTTCACTAACGTTACCTCTAGCCGGAGGTCCTTTATGTCAATACCAAATTTCTCCTACTAAATCAGTTATAAAAATCGAAATTTTTTTTGTTTTAATCTCTGTTTTGTATTCGAAACGTTTTCGAACTCAGATATTATATTGTTTTTTTTTTATAGCAAAATACAGAGAAAAATTTTAACTGTTCCTTAAAAGACCCACGATGCAGGCAGGGGGTTAATTACATATCACTCAAACAATATGATTGTATAAATTTATACAGCAGGGTTAAGTAACAATACAATTCCTGTTGCTTAATTTCCTAATGATGGGATGTCATGATGTCTTTACTTAACAGTTTTTTAATAGTCAAAACTTAACATCTTTTCTTAAAAAAAAAAAAAAAAAAATTTATCATGAAGATTGAAATTTAATTTTAGATATAAACAAAAAAAATTTCTAGGAATTCTTTAAGAAAATATAATAAATCTGATTCGACTATCTTAAAATTCCGGCTCAGCAAGTAAAACCGAATGTGTCATCGGCTTCTATATAATCCCAATACCAACGGTCCGGTAAAAGAACTCTGGTTTATTTAAGGATTCTCCATCAGTCGTTGAGAGATAAATATTTCGCGTTGTTCCTCGACTTTCGTTCCGTCGACGAAAACCGGATACTGACGTCATCGAATGTTTAGTCGACCGAGTTTACTCGCAACGAACAAATTCACAATTGAAGCGAAGCACATTCGAAATATTTCATATATTCGAAACGCGCAAACATCTCGAGGTATTTAGTAAGAACTTTTATGCTACTTTTCCAGCAAATAAAATTACATAAATAATCAACTCGACCCTAATCTCTAAAGTGAATTCGATAAGTTTTATTAAAAGTCTTTATGTAAAAATCTTTATTTAAAGAGTCGCACGAGAAATATTACACCAGCAATTTCTGATCCTTTAAATACATTTTAGAAAAACTCAGCGTCAAAAGTAAAAATATGCATTAAATATTGACAAGAGAATTGAAATGCACACGGATAAATCGGA